GAAGTAGCAGCGGATGCCCCTTCGTTCGCTTTTGTGCAGTAAGTCCCATAGGGAGGCCTGTCAGCGCCACCCCGCATGGCTCCCATGTATCGCAGCCTGAGGTACCTTAACCATGATGGATCTGGACAAACTCGGTACCATTAAAGCGGATGAATGGGCCAACCGGCATGCAAATCGGCAGGTCGATAGACTCGAAACTTTTGGAGAAAATCCCAGAAGTAGCAGCGGATGCCCATTCTTTCGCTTTTTGTGCAGTAAGTCCCATAGGGAGGCCTGTCAGCGCCAACCCGCATGGCTCCCAATGTATCGCAGCCTGAAGGTACCTTAACCTGGATGGATCTGGACAAACTCGGTACCATTTTGAAGCGGATGAATGGCCAACCTGCATGCAAATCGGCAGGTCGATAGACCCGAAACTTTTGGAGAAAATCCCAGAAGTAGCAGCGGATGCCCCTTCTTTCGCTTTTGTGCAGTAAGTCCCATAGGGAGGCCTGTCAGCGCCAACCCGCATGGCTCCCATGTATCGCAGCCTGAAGGTACCTTAACCCTTAATGGATCTGGACAAACTCGGTACCATTTTGAAGCGGATGAATGGGCCACCCGCATGCAAATCGGCAGGTCGATAGACCCGAAACTTTTGGAGAAAATCCCAGAAGTAGCAGCGGATGCCCCTTCTTTCGCTTTTGTGCAGTAAGTCCCATAGGGAGGCCTGTCAGCGCCAACCCGATGGCTCCCATGTTCGCAGCCTGAAGGTACCTTAACCCTGATGGATCTGGACAAACTCGGTACCATTTTGAAGCGGATGAATGGGCCAACCCGCATGCAAATCGGCAAGTTGATAGACCCGAAACTTTTGGAGAAATCCCAGAAGTAGCAGCAGATTCCCCTTTTTCGCTTTTGTGCAGTAAGTCCCATAGGGAGGCCTGTCAGCGCCAACCCGCATGGCTCCCATGTATCGCAGCCTGAAGGTTCCTTAACCTGGATGGATCGGACAAACGGTACCATTTTGAAGCGGATGAATGGGCCAACCGGCATGCAAATCGGCTGGTCGATAGACCGAAACTTTTGGAGAAAATTCCCAGAAGTAGCAGCGGATGCCCCTTCGTTCGCTTTTGTGCAGTAAGTCCCCTAGGGAGGCCTGTCAGCGCCAACCCGCATGGCTCCCATGTATCGCAGCCTGAAGGTACCTTAACATGGATGGATCTGGACAAACTCGGTACCATTTTGAAGCCGATGAATGGGCCAACCGCATGCAAATCGGCAGGTCGATAGACCCGAAACTTTTGGAGAAAATCCCAGAAGTAGCAGCGGATGCCCCTTCGTTCGCTTTTGTGCAGTAAGTCCCATAGGGAGTCCTGTCAGCGCCAACCCGCATGGCTCCCATGTATCGCAGCCTGAGGAACCTTAACCCTGGATGGATCTGGACAAACTCGGTACATTTTGAAGCGGATGAATGGAACAACTCGCATGCAAATCGGCAGGTCGATAGACCCGAAACTTTTGGAGAAAATCCCAGAATTAGCAGCGGATGCCCCTTCGTTCGCTTTTGTGCAGTAAGTCCCATAGGGAGGCCTGTCAGCGCCAACCCGTATGGCTCCCATGTATCGCAGCCTGAAGGTACCTTAACCTGGATGGATCTGGACAAACTCGGTACCATTTTGAAGCGGATGAAGGGTAACCGGCATCTCATCGGCAGGTCGATAGACCCGAAACTTTTGGAGAAAATCCCAGAAGTAGCAGCGGATGCCCCTTCGTTCGCTTTTGTGCAGTAAGTCCCATAGGGAGGCCTGTCAGCGCCAACCCGCATGGCTCCCATGTATCGCAGCCTGAAGGTTCCTTAACCTGGATGGATCTGGACAAACTCGGTACCATTTTGAAGCGGATGAATGGGCCAACCGCATGCAAATCGGCTGGTCGATAGACCCGAAACTTTGGAGAAAAATCCCAGAAGTAGCAGCGGATGCCCCTTTTTTCGCTTTTGTGCAGTAAGTCCCATAGGGAGGCCTGTCAGCGCCAACCCGCATGGCTCCCATGTATCGCAGTCTGAAGGTACCTTAACCTGGATGGATCTGGACAAACTCGGTACCATTTTGAAGCGTGAATGGGCCAACCGCATGCAAATCGGCTGGTCGATAGACCCGAAACTTTTGGAGAAAATTCCAGAAGTAGCAGCGGATTCCCCTTCGTTCGCTTTTGTGCAGTAAGTCCCATAGGAGGCCTGTCAGCGCCAACCCGCATGGCTCCCATGTATCGCAGCCTGAAGGTACCTTAACCTAGATGGATCTGGACAAACTCGGTACCATTTGAAGCGGATGAATGGGCCAACTCGCATGCAAATCGGCAGGTCGATAGACCCGAAACTTTTGGAGAAAATCCCAGAAGTAGCAGCGGATGCCCCTTCTTTCGCTTTTGTGCAGTAAGTCCCATAGGGAGGCCTTTCAGCGCCAACCCGCATGGCTCCCATGTATCGCAGCCTGAAGGTACCTTAACCTGGATGGATCTGGACAAACTCGGTACCATTTTGAAGCGGATGAATGGGCCAACCGGCATGCAAATCGGCAGGTCGATAGACCCGAAACTTTGGAGAAAATCCCAGAAGTAGCAGCGGATGCCCCTTCGTTCGCTTTTGTGCAGTAAGTCCCATAGGAGGCCTGTCAGCGCCAACCAGCATGGCTCCCATGTATCGCAGCCTGAAGGTACCTTAACCTGGATGGATCTGGACAAACTCGGTACCATTTTGAAGCGGATGAATGGTCAACCGGCATGCAAATCGGCAGGTCGATAGACCCGAAACTTTTGGAGAAAATCCCAGAAGTAGCAGCGGATGCCCCTTCGTTCGCTTTTGTGCAGTAAGTCCCATAGGGAGGCCTGTCAGCGCCAACCCGCATGGCTCCCATGTATCGCAGCCTGAAGGTACCTTAACCTGGATGGATCTGGACAAACTCGGTACCATTTTGAAGCGGATGAATGGGCCAACCCGCATGCAAATCGGCAGGTCGATAGACCCGAAACTTTGGAGAAAATCCCAGAAGTAGCAGCGGATGCCCCTTCTATCGCTTTTGTGCAGTAAGTCCCATAGTGAGGCCTGTCAGCGCCAACCCGCATGGCTCCCATGTATCGCAGCCTGAAGGTACCTTAACCTGGATTGATCTGGACAAACTTGGTACCATTTTGAAGCGGATGAATGGGCCAACCCGCATGCAAATCGGCAGGTCGATAGACCCGAAACTTTTGGAGAAAATCTCAGAAGTAGCAGCGGATGCCCCTTCTTTCGCTTTTGTGCAGTAAGTCCCTTAGGGCCTGTCAGCGCCAACCCGCATGGCTCCCATGTATCGCAGCCTGAAGGTACCTTAATGTGGATGGATCTGGACAAACTCGATACCATTTTGAGGTGGATGAATGGCCAACCGGCATGCAAATCGGCAGGTCGATAGACCCGAAACTTTGGAGAAAATCCCAGAAGTAGCAGCGGATGCCCCTTCGTTCGCTTATGTGCAGTAAGTCCCATAGGGAGGCCTGTCAGCGCCAACCCGCATGGCTCCCATTTATCGCAGCCTGAAGGTACCTTAACCTGGATGGATCTGGACAAACTCGGGCCCACTTTGAAGCGAATGAATGGGCAACCGGCATGCAAATCGGCAGGTCGATAGACCGAAACTTTTGGAGAAAATCCCAGAAGTAGCAGCGGATTCCCCTTCGTTCGCTTTTGTGCAGTAAGCCCCTAGGGAAGCCTGTCAGCGCCAACCCGCATGGCTCCCATGTATCGCAGCCTGAAGGTACCTTAACCTAGATGGATCTGGACAAACTCGGTACTATTTTGAAGCGGATGAATGGGCCAACCCGCATGCAAATCGGCAGGTCGATAGACCCGAAACTTTGGAAAATCCCAGAAGTAGCAGCGGATGCCCCTTCTTTCGCTTTTGTGCAGTAAGTCCCATAGGGAGGCCTGTCAGCGCCAACCCGCAAGGCTCCCATGTATCGCAGCCTGAAGGTACCTTAACCTGGATGGATCTGGACAAACTTGGTACCATTTTGAAGCGGATGAATGGGCCAACCGCATGCAAATGGGCAGGTCGATAGACCCGAAACTTTTGGAGAAAATTTCAGAAGTAGCAGCGGATGCCCCTTCGTTCGCTTTTGTGCAGTAAGTCCCATAGGGAGGCCTGTCAGCGCCAACCCGCATGGCTCCATGTATCGCAGCCTGAAGGTACCTTAACCTGGATGGATCTGGACAAACGCGGTACCATTTTGAAGCGGATGAAGGGCCAACCGCATGCAAATCGGCAGGTCGATAGACCCGAAACTTTTGGAGAAAATCCCAGAAGTAGCAGCGGATGCCCCTTCTTTCGCTTTGTGTGCAGTAAGTCCCATAGGGAAGCCTGTCAGCGCCAACCCGCAAG